ACAGCTCTTTGGGTCTCATCTTGAGAGTTGACAGCAACAGATTCCAAATGCAATTGGCACATTTGAATGGAACTCTGGACCTTTTATCTGCTCATTGTAATTGGGATAATGAGGGAATAACACACACCTGGCTATGGAAGAACTGAGAAGCCAATTGTCCCATTACTTTTGGTCCCTTGACAAGTGGGAGGCACATATGCAAACTGTTGTAATTCCTACACCATTCATCTGATTTGGATGTAAATACACTCAAATTAAAGCTGACAGTCTGCAGTTAAAGCACATCTTGTTCGTTTCATTTCAAATCCATTGTGGTGGTGTATAGAGCCAAAAATGTTAGAATTGTGTCGATGTCCCAATATTTATGGACCTGACTGTATATCCTTTGTTGGCAATGACAGAGGTCAGACGTTTCCTGTAAGTCTTCACAAGGTTGGCACACACTGTTGCTGGTATGTTGGCCCATCCTCCATGCAGATCTCCTCTAGAGCAGTGATGTTTTGGGGCTGTCGCTAGGCAACACGGACTTTCAACTCCCTCCAAAGGTTTTCAATGGGGTTGAGATCTGGAGACTGGCTAGGCCACTCCAGGACCTTGAAATGCTTCTTACGAAGCCACTCCTTCGTTGCCCGGGCGGTATGTTTGGGATCATTGTCATGTTGGAAGACCCAGCCACGTTTCATCTTCAATGCCCTTGCTGATGGACGGAGGTTTGCACTCAAAATCTCACGATACATGGCCCCATTCATTCTGTCCTGTACATGGATCAGTCGTCCTGGTCCCTTTGCGGAGAAACAGCCCCAAAGCATGATGTTGCCATCCCCATGCTTCACAGTAGGTATGGTGTTCTTTGGATGCAACGCGGCATTCTCTCTCCTCCAAACACGACGAGTTGTGTTTCTACCAAACAGTTCTATTTTGGTTTTATCTGACCATCTGACAATCTCCCAATCCTCTTCTGGATCATCCAAATGCTCTCTAGCAAACTTCAGACGGGCCCAGACATGTACTGGCTTAAGCAGGGGACACGTCTGGCACTGCAGGATCTGAGTACCTGGCGGCGTAGTGTGTCACTGATGGTAGCCTTTGTTACGTTGGTCCCAGCTCTCTGCAGGTCATTCACTAGGTCCCTCCGTGTGGTCCTGGGATTTTTGCTCACCGTTCTTGTGATCATTTTGACCCCACGGGGTGAGATCTTGTGTGGAGCCCCAGATCGAGGGAGATTATCAGTGGTCTTGTATGTCTTCCATTTTCTAATTATTGCTCCCACAGTTGATTTGTTCACACCAAGCTGCTTGCCTATTGCAGATTCAGTCTTCCCAGCCTGGTGCAGGTCTACAATTTTGTTTCTGGTGTCCTTCGACAGCTCTTTGGTCTTCACCGTAGTGGAGTTTGGAGTGTGACTGTTTGAGGTTGTGGACAGGTGTCTTTTATACTGATAACAAGTTCAAACAGGTGCCATTGATACAGGTAATGAGTGCAGGACAGAGGAGCCTCTTAAAGAAGAAGGTACAGGTCTGTGAGAGCCAGAAATCTTGCTTGTCTGTAGGTGACCAAATACTTATTTTCCACCATAATTTGCAAATAAATTCTTTCCAAATCAGCCAATGTGATTGTCTGGATTTGTTTTCTCATTTTGTCTCTCATAGTTGAGGTCTACCTATGATGCCAATTACAGGCCTCTCTCATCTTTTTAAGTGGGAGAACTTGTACAATTGGTGGGGACTAAATACTTTTTTGCCCCACTGTACCTCCAGACTGCCATATTGCATTTTACAGCAGATTTAGATGGAAAAGGAAAGATCCTATTTAGTACCATCCAATTATATGACTTGAGTCACAATTGTATGTGATTTATTTATTTATTTATTTAGCTATTTTTTTCCCTATCAAAGTGGAGTTATCCTTTTAATTGTTCAAACGACTTTCTAGTTCTAAAAACAAAAGGTTGCGGATTTGAGGACCGCCATCGCTACCTGCGGGTGATCTGTGATGACCACCCGCCCCGTTCTGGAAGCAAAGCTGGGAAGACGTTGGTTTGACATTGTAAACAACCTAACATGACAACTTTTATTAAACCTAAAAAAAAAGGAAAGAAAAAAAAAAACCCCAACTTGTATCAACAGGCTGCGCCCCCGGACAGCTGGCGCACGCTACGTCTGGGGCGCCGTATACTGAACAATGACTTTACATACATCTCACATCTGGGCGTATTCAGAGAAGGCCTGGGGATCGGATGGGAAGAACGGGCGGGGGAGGGGCACTGGCCCAGTAACAGTCAGTAGTGCGCAGTCCTGACACATTGTCGTCTTGCCGTGACGTATTGTGTACAGTCCCAAGTCTTGGTGACTCCTCAGCCCAATGCTGAGTCTGTGTCATGGTGTCCCGTATCCACGCTGGATCGGCGCTCCTCTCACTTATGCCGGCCTGCAGTGAAGACAGGAAAAAAAAAAAAAATCAGGCGCATAAAAACTACGTTGATGTGGAAGAAGAACGGTCTGATTGTGAATCATTTTATTAATCATTTGTTAATTTTGATTATGATCATTTCTGTACCGGACGTATTAGTTGTGTATTGAAAATAGTTTACCGTCAATTTAGGAAGGGATTCTTTGCAGTAAGAGTAGAGGATTCCCTAACGTACGAAATAAAAAAAAGACTAGTAAATTAAAAATATATACAAATGACAAATCACGTTCTTCTAAAAGGATATGTGCGCTTCTGTGATTACTGGGGGGGTTGTCACAGAGCGCAGTGGGCGGAGACTAATGTACCGCCTTCTTGACCGCCTTCCATCTTGTGCTGTTACGGCACACCAAGCTCACTCTTACTGATGAGATGGACCAAAATGATGAATTATGCTACAGAACTGCCTCGGCTTGTAGGCTGATACCCAGAAAGCGATTTGTAAAAAAAAAATTATATTCAAAGGGGCGCTCCACCCAACTGAAAAACATTCTTACTTGCAGCAAGTTGCTTCTGGAAACAAGTGTTCATGAATATATGGGGGAGATTTACTAAAACTGGAGCACTCAGAATCTGGTGCAGCTGTGCATGGGAGCCAATCAGCTTCTAACTTCAGCTTGTTCCATTCAGCTTTGACAATAAAACCTGGAAGCTGATTGGTTTCTATGCAGAGCTGCACCAGATTTTACATTCTCCAGTTTTAGTAAATCTCCCCCATTGTGTTTAGCCGCCTCAACTGTTTGCCAGGGAAAATGAGTGGATTTAGGGCCCATTTGCATTCTTGCAATGTTAATGCACGGGATAACACATGTTATGTTCCAATGTACCAGAATGTCTGAAAAATCACAGTCCTCACAGACACAGTCCTCAATCTCCATCTCTGCCGCCTCAGCAGCACACAATGAATGGACAGGAATATCTCCCCTCCATTTACAAACTGAGGCATAGTAAACACAGTTTACTATGCCTCTGTTATGAATGGACAGAGTTAGTGATCAGTACTGATCCCTGACTGTCCGTTCAGACAAAGAAAACTGAAGCATAGTAAACACAGTTTACTATGCCTCTGTTATGAATGGACAGAGTTAGTGATCGGTACTGATCCCTGACTGTCCGTTCAGACACAGAAAGCGCCAGTAAATGACATTTACTGGCCCCTTCCCTGCTCTCCATCCTGACAGATCCCTCCACAGCAGCTGGCGGGAGAAGGGAGGAGGGAACCTGGCAGCGCTGTGGGGGAGGAGAGAGCACAGGTGGACCAGGAGAGAGAACAGCGGCCTGGGGGCAGCAGAAAGATGAGGGACAGGAGGGTTGGCAGGGCGGTATATAGAGAACCAATCTGTCCATTTCTCTCCTGCAGCTGTTGAATGCCTGCAGGAGGGAGAGGAGGAGAAATGGGCATTCAGTGGTGGCAGAAGGGAAATGGATGGATCATTCCTGTATATGCTACCTCTCCTATCCAGGCAGCCCTCCGGACAAATACCAGTGTGCCTTATGGCCAGTCCGGGCCTGGGTACAGTGTTGCACGATGGAGTAAATGTCAGTCAAACTATCACAGCACTGAAAAAAGTCTGATATTGAAGTCGCAGATATTGAATGCCTGCAGGAGGGAGAGGAGGAGAAGTGGGCATTCAGTGGTGGCAGGAGGAAAATGGATGGATCATTCCTCTATATGCTACCCCCCTCCTATGCAGGCAGCCCTGGCCCTCTGGGCAAATGGCCATTGTGCCCTATGGCCAGTCTGGGCCTGGGTACAGTGTTGCATGATAGAGTAAATGTCAAACTATCACAACACTGAAAAAAGTCTGATATTGAAGGGGCAGATATTGAATGCCTGCAGGAGGGAGAGGAGAAGTGGATGGATCATTCCTCTATATGCTACCCCTCCTATCCAGGCACCCCGACCCTCCGGCAAATGCCCAGTGTGCCCTATGGCCAGTCCGGGCCTGGGTACAGTGTTGCATGACAGAGTAAATGTCAGTCAAACTATCACAGCACTGAAAACAGTCTGATATTGAAGGGGCAGATAATGAATGCCTACAGGAGGGAGAGGAGGAGAAGTGGGCATTCAGTGGTGGCAGGAGGGAAATGGATGGATCATTCCTGTATATACTACTCCTCCTATCCAGGCAGCCTCGGCCCTCCGGGCAAATGCCCAGTGTGCCCTATGGCCAGTCCGGGCCTGGGTACAGTGTTGCATGATAGAGTAAATGTCAAACTATCACAGCACTGAACACAGTCTGATATTGAAGTACAGGCTGGTACTCAAGTGCTGAAAGCAGATTATGGATCAAGCGTGCCGGAGATTCACCCACAAATGGTATAACTTCTCTATTCCAGGGCGAACCGATAGGCTGAACATTGGTTCAGCGCTGCGCCAACTCTACAGGTGGCAGGAGCACCACAGCAGCCAATCTGTGCCTGCATCCATCGGAATATAACAAGAAAAGGGATGATTGGTCAGGAAGTGCAGTTCAGCATGGATCTGATTGGCTGGTAGGTCTATCTTGGCAGAGACGGGGCAGAGTGCCGTCTTATACTTACAAATAGCTCTGCTTGAACAGCGGGTGACTGGACTTTTCATTGACATGGTAGAGGGGGAATGGATCAAATCCACCAATGAAATCAACTGAAAGAAACAAAATCCCAAAATAAAAGCAACAAAACAATGAGTCGGCATGCAGGGTGATGGGAAGGGGGAGGAGCAGAGACACGGGAAGAATGAATGGAAAATGAAGGTTCAGTAATCCCAAATTAAAAATGTTACTTAAATGTAACCTCCAGGGAAGCCGCCATTACCATGCAGTACGTGAGCTGTGCTATCGGCCATTATAGGCTATGGGAGGGTGGATGGACCTTACTTTTAGATTGTCAGCTCCTAGGATCAGGGCCCTCCTAACCCTCTTGTATGGTTGCTGTATTATCTCCCTTTATATTGTAAAGTGCTGAGCAAACTGTTGGCGCCATATAAATCTCGTAAAATAATAATGTCTGTAAGACCACCCCATTGACTGACAAGATGGATAGGATTGGTCTAGAAAACCAGGAGTGATTTTGGCGCAAAAAAAAACTTACATTTCATCCTTTGTGGCATCTGCTGATCTCCTGCAGCCTTTGTTACAGCCACTTCCATGCACTCCAGAGATGGCTGCGTGGCATTTCCCAGGATGGGTTTCCTGATGGAGACAGCGATAGACCATTCCTGCCTAATGTGCTGCTTCCAGTGACTTGCCTGAGAAGGTGGCAACTTAAAAGCAAAATTGGGAGACCGGAACACAGCGTTGTCACCCCATAACAGGAAATGCCTGAACACAGACCTTCATGGCGGGATCACCAGATTAGGTTATGAAAAACCTGCAGGTTTATAAAAGGTTGAAAATGACTTTTGAAAGTTTGAAACTAATGCAGGCCATTTTTAAAAAAAATCAAAAAAAACAGATAATCGGTCGCTCAATAGGCCAACGTTACCACCAACGGTAAAAAAAAAAAAAAAATCGGCCGATGTTTGTCCCGTCTACGGCCGGCATTTAATTACTTCTGTCCCTGCAGAGAGCTCCGCTATTATATTTGACATGAAAAAGTCTTGCGGTTGCAACAATGTATTAATTTTGGATACAGATGTTTTTATTTGGATACAGATAGATACATTGTTGCAACCGCAAGACTTTTTCATGTCAAATAGCAGACTAGAATTCTTCTTTTTCTTTTTTTCTTCTTCTTTTTCTTCTTGCAGGTTACGGCTCATGTGCAGATTTTTTATCGGTAAAACGATCGGCCGATTTGCCCATCATTGCCAGGAAAATCGGCCAATCGGGAAAATCAGCTGATTTTTTTCCAACTTCACCAATAAAAAAAAATCCCGAAAAATGGCCGACCAATTAACCCACTAACGGTGTGAAAAACAGCCAATTTTTTTCGATTTTCAACCCATCTCTGGCCTGCATAATGTTAACCCTTTAACGTCTTCAGCACTGTCCATTTTTTTTCTATTAGGGGTTAGGCTAGTGCAAATAAAAAAACGTATCACAGAGCGTACACAACTGTTTTTGGCGCTAGTAGATATGAGATTGCAGTGATGGGGTTTGCATCCACTTTTTTTTTCTCTCTAGGTCACGGGATGGGCAACTGTGGCCCTTCAGCTGTTGTAGAACTACAAGTCCCATGAGGCATTGCAAAACTGACAGTTACAAGCATGACACCCAAAGGCAGAGGCATGATGGGACTTGTAGTTCACCAACAGCTGGAGGGCCACAGTTGCCCTCTAGGAGTTTACTGCAACCCCCCCTGTCTTTAGACTGAGGCCCTTTAATTGCTTCCTCCATAATCCGCTCCTCTGTGAATTCCTGTACGGCTCCCTCCAGTGCTGCCTCTCCGCCCCTTTCCCCACACTGACTGATTGTCCCCAGAATCTAGGTTAATCAAGGGACACGTGATGTTAACTATTACAGAGCCCGGAGCTCCTCCAGCCAGGAAATAACGAGGACACATCCGGGACCTTCTAATCATCACATCCATCATGGAAGTTCTCCTTCCTAGAAGTATAAAATATGAAGGGGGGAATGTACAGGGACTCCGCTAATGAGACTCCCCTCCCCCACATCATTCATATCCAACACTGACAGAGCTTTATATTCAGTACATCGGATTTGTGTACATTGTATGACCAACCACACACACCTTACAATCTGATTGTACAATATTCCATAGACTGCCAGTGAGGGTCTGCCTGATTGGACGGTACTACAGGAAGGTTAGACACTTAGTTGCAGGTGAATGTAAAGGTGGCTATATATACATTTGTGATTGGGTGGACTGACCATGTATTGAATAATCAGGCATTGCCCGAGGTGACACGGGGTATTGTATGGTGGCCATGACATGTGGTACCTTTTTGATAGATCTATTTTAAAGTTTGAGCAAGGACACAGGTGGCCATGTATGATCCCCTATTGATTTATGGGGGCCCCATGAGTGATTTGTCAATCCACCCATATGTATGCTATAGTTTATGTATTGATTTGTGATCGATTTATGGTGGCCATACATGTATTGATTTTTATGACCATCAATTTATAGAAGGCCATACACATTGATTTCTGATTGATTTATGGTGGCCATACACGTATTGATTTGTCATCAATTTATGGTGGCCATACATGTATTGATTTGTCATGAATTATGGTGATAATACACATATTGATTTGTGATCAGTTTACATTAGGTGGCCATACATGTACTGATTTGTAATCAATCTATGATGTCCATATATGTATCTATTTGTGATCAATTTATGGTGACCGAACATTTAGTGATTTTTGATCTATTTATGGTCGCCATATATGTATTGATTTTTCATCACAGAGGACAAGGGGGCGCTCTTTACGTCTGGAGGAAAATAAATTTAATCTCCAAACATGGAAAGGTTTCTTCACAGTGAGAGCTGTGAAAATGTGGAATAGACTCCCTCAAGAGTTGGTTCTGGCCAGCTCAGTGGATTGCTGTAGGAAAGTCCTGGATTCTTTCTTGGATACACAGAATATAACTGGATATAACATTTAGAGGTAACGTTGATCCAGGGAATATCCGATTGCCTCTCGGGGGATCAGGAAGGAATTTTTTTTCCCTGCAGGAGCAAATTGGATCATGCTTTGCTGGGTTTTTTTGCCTTCCTCTGGATCAACTGAGTGTAGGATTATAACTTTTTTTTTTTTCTATGGTTCAACTGGATGGACTTTTGTCTTTTTTCAGCCAGACTAACTATGTAACTATGGTGGCCATACATGTATTGATTTATCACGAATTTATGGTGGCCATACATGTATTGATTTATCACGAATTTATGGTATACATGTATTTTCTGATCTGTTCATGGTAACTATACATGTACGGGACTTGTCATCAATTTTTGGTAATAATACACGTATTGATTTTTGATCAACTTACATATCGTGGCCATACATGTACTGATTTGTAATCAATTAATGGTGGCCATACATGTATCCTTTTGTAATCAATTAATGGTACCCATACATGTATCAATTTCTGATCTATTTATGGTAACCATACATGTATCAATTTCTGATCTATTTATGGTGGCCATACATGTATCAATTTCTGATCTATTTATGGTAACCATACATGTATCAATTTCTGATCTATTTATGGTGGCCATACATGTATCAATTTCTGATCTATTTATGGTGGCCATACATGTATCAATTTCTGATCTATTTATGGTGGCCATACATGTATCAATTTCTGATCTATTTATGGTAACCATACATGTATCAATTTCTGATCTATTTATGGTGGCCATACCATGTATCAATTTCTGATCTATTTATTAACCATACATGTATCAATTTTCTGTTCTATTTATGGTGACCATACATGTACTGATTTGTCATCAATTTACATATTGTGACCTTACTTATATTGATTTGTAGTCAATTTATGGTACCCATACATGTATCCATTTGTGATGTGTTTATGGTGGCCATACATATACCAATTTGTGATGAGTTCACAGTGGCTATACATGTTTTCATTTGTGAATAATGTTTGGTGGACGTACACATAAATGATCTGACTGTACAACCTCCGATGGATTTACCAATGAGGACCTGCCTGATTGGATATAAATTGGATGGAATGGGAAGGTTAACTTCTCACTTGCTGATGAATCTAAAGGTGCTCATATATATACTGAATTGTGATCAATCTAGCTTCAAGTGATCACAAGCAAGCGATTCATCTTCAATTAAACGTTCAGACAATGCAACACATACAGTACTAACTGCAAATATGATCTCTCAGGAAAGGTCATTTATTCGATCTAAGTTAGGAGCGGTAGTCTGACACACACCCACATGCAGATATTCATTTAATTGTTCAGAAGCGATCAATAAAATATCTGCACAGCCTATTAATGTGCCAGTGTCAAAATTGATCAACCCGCTCAATAATCCGATCAAATGGTCTGTGGTTTATGATTCTTATTGCTCTTTTTAACTGCACTGAATAATCAATGAAAAGATTATGTTGATTATATGATCAGAAACAATCAATAGAATTCTGACAGCTCGGAGAGTTTCCAGTGTTCAAATTGATTAATCCAATGGAGGGTGGCGATGGAGGGGATTATTTTGTGGTTTATGATTCCTATTCAGTGTGATCGTTTTAGTCATGTGGTATGATGGATGGATGATCACATGTGTGGCCACCTTAATGAAGATTAGATACGCACTGAATGAAATTTACAGGAGGGGCATTCGTAGATGTTGGTAAAGATGATGAAGATTGGACAGCATTTGTGCAATCAGATTGTATTGTGTGGAAACAGAGATAACATGGGGTTTGGTTGTACAAGCATAGCCTGGCATGTGTCTTGGCCCTCCCTATCCCATCCATAGGTCCCCTTGTGAGCAATCAGATGGCGAGGTACCTGCCTGCCATTGATGGGAGATTGTCATTTACTTTTCTCATTTTTATCGCTCATTACCTGTCTGTAGGTTCCTGTGATGAACCCCTGGAGAACAATTCAATACCTCTGTGCTGGCCTTACAAAGTTGACTCATGTTTTTAATGGGGAGGAACCACGAAAAGCGGCCGATGCCATTGCCCCATTAACAGAGCAAAAATCGGCCGATTATTCTTAGGTCTAATTTTCGTAAGAAAATCATTCGGAATTCGAACCATGTATGGCCTGCATAAGTGTTGGATTTCCCATCACTTTCTATCTACATAACAATGGAGAAAGAAAGAGAAAAAAAGGAAAAAAAAGAGAAAAAAAGAGAAAAAGGAAGAAAGAGAAAAAAAGAGAAAAAAAGGAAGAAAAGAAAGAGAAAAATGAAGAAAAAGAAAGAGAAAAAGGAAGAGAAAAGAGAGAAAGAAAGAGAGAGAGAGAAAGAAAGAGAAAGAGAAAGAAAGAGAAAAAGAAAGAGAGAGAGAAAGAAAGAGAGAGAAAGAAAGAGAAAAAGAAAGAGAAAGAAAGAGAGAGAGAGGGGGGGGGGGAGTAAGAGAGAGAGAGAGAGAAAAGAAAAAAAGAGAGAGAGAGAAAAAAGAGAGAGAAAAAAGAAAGAAAGAGAAAAAAAGAAAGAAAGAGAAAAGAGAAAAAAGACAAAGGAGGAGAGAAAAAAGAAGGAGGAGAGAAAAAAAGAAGAGAGAGAGAGAAAAAGAAAGAAAGAGAAAAGGAAGAAAAAGAGACAAAGAAAGAGAAAAACTTCCCATTGCGGACGCAGACAGCGATAAAATTCCACCATCAATTCGTTTTCTGGTGAAAGCCGTCACATGTTGGATGTCCCCCCCCACTTTATATCCCAGTGACAATAGGCTGCAGGATGAACTAAGGTGATGAATGATGGACACAGAAATAACAACCAGACAGGGGCCCTAACCTTTCCACGCCCCTTACACTACTCCTCCCTTAGCCTAAAATGGCCACAACAAGCTGCAGATAAAAATCAGGCTTTCACGGCCTGTACCAGTCTGGAGGCTTTTACATTAATAGCCATGAACAGCATTTGTATCTCTTTCACTTACAGTAACTTACCACATTACATAGTTGTTGGTAGATCTAAATGAGATTGTACAATCAGATTGTATAGTGTAAGGTGGTGTCTATAGTCAGGAATATAGAGGGGTCTACTCACAGCTGTCCTCTTCTTCTGTAAAGACGCTGGTCACATAACAGGCGTACACAAAGCCAAGGAGCTGGAAAAGAATCAAATACATCCTGAATAATAGTAATAATAATAATATCCTGCATAATGATGTATAATAATATTATATTATTTGTATATATAAAAAATATTTTTTTTTAATATTTTTATTTTTTTTAACAACAACATTTAATATTTTATAATTTTTTTTTTTCCTTTTTTTTTTTTTTTTTTTTTTTTTTTTTTTTTTTTTTTTTTTTTTTTTTTTTTTTTTTTTTTTTTTTTTTTTTTATTTTTTTTTTTTTTTTTTTTTTTTTTTTTTTTTTTTTTTTTGTTTTTTTTTTTTTTTTTTTTTTTTTTATTTTTTTTTTTTTTTTTTATTTTTTTTTTTTTTTTTTTTTTTTTTTTTTTTTTTTTTTTTATTTTTTTTATTTTTTTTTTTTTTTTTTTTTTTTTTTTTTTTTTTTTTTTTTTTTTTTTTTTTTTTTTTTTTTTTTTTTTTTTTTTTTTTTTTTTTTTTTTTTTTTTTTTTTTTTTTTTTTTTTTTTTATTTTTTTTTTTTTTTTTTTTTTTTTTTTTTTTTTTTTTTTTTTTATTTTTTTTTATTTTTTAACTTTTTTTTTTATTTTATTTTTTTTTTTTTTTTTTTTATTTTTTTTAATTTTTTTTTATTTTTTTTTTTTTTTAATTTTTTTTTTTTTAATTTTTTAACATGTTTTTTTTATAAAAACATTTTTTTTTTTTTTTTTAATTTATTTTTTTTTTTTTTTATTTTTTATAATTTTTTTTTTTTAATTTTACAATTTTTTTAATAATTTTTTTTATTTTTTTATTTTTTTTTTTTTTTTTTTTTTTTTTTTTTTTTTTTTATAATTTTTTTATTTTTTTTTTTTTTTTTTTTTTTTAATTATTTTTTTTTTTTTTTTTTAACATTATAATTTTATTTTTTTTTTTATTTTTTTTTTTAATTTTTAATTTTTTTATTTTTTTATTTTTTATTTTTTTTAATATTTTTTTTTTTTTTAATGTTTAAAAAGATTTTATTTTTATTTTTTTTTTTTTTTTTTTTTTAATTTTTTTTTTATTTTTTATTTTTTATTTTTTTTTTTTTTACTTTTTTTTTTTATTTACAATAATTTTATTTTTTTATTTTTTTTTTTTTTTATTTTTTATCCTGTAAAAAACATTTTTTTTTTTTTTTTATTTTTATCCTTATTTATTTTTTATTTTTTTTTTTTTTTATATTTTTTTTTTTTAATTTTTTTTTTTTTTTTTTATTTTATTTTTATTTCTTTTTTTTATTTTTTTTTTTAGAAATTTTTTTTTACCAATTAAATTTTTATTTTTATTTTTTTTTTTTTTTTTTTTTTTTTTTTTTTTTTTTTTTTGAATATCCTTATTTTTTTTTTTTTTTTTTTTTTAATATTTTTTGTTTTTTTTTTTTTTTTAATTGTTTTAAAATCCTGTACAATTTATTAACAACAACATGTATATATATTGTATAAAAAAATAATTTAATATGTATAATTACCCTGTATAATAATAATAATAGTTATAATATTTTTTTTGTATGACCATGTATGATAATATTATTATTATGATCAGTACCTGCTGCAGCTCTCACCTTGTGACTAGCTGCAAAGTTACAGTACAGTGAACACTGGGGGGGGGGGGGGGGGGGACTGAGGAAATGCTTCTTCCAGCCTGCAGCAGACTCATGACATCCTTAGCAGCTTCAATGATAAAAGGTGAAGCTATTTCCAAACATTGCAGTGCTGCTTTATAATGTGACAGGTCATCATAGGCTTGTAAAAAGACTGACAGGTTTTTTTAAGCCAGGGAATTGTATAGAAATCTACATATGAATGATGTGCTGGGACAAGGTCCTCAAGCAGCCAAAGAGCGCCCCCCTCCTCAGGAGCTGTGAACCACCCTTGTTGAAGCGCCCAAGACATCCGTCTTCTTCTGCCTCCCCCCAGATGAATTCCAATGATTTAATATGGAGTGTCAGCAGGCATCCCCAGCATTCGGGCTGCTTGTCATGGATGATGTGTGAAGTATGCACAGCTGGATGGGAGGAAGGCCGGGGATTGGCTGAGGAATGTTCGGTATCGGGGAGACTCCCTGCGCAGGCACAGCAGGGACATGAAAAGGTCACGTGGTGCAGGAATGGTGCGCATGGCGTATCACAGAGAGGGGTTTGTAGGGAAGCGTGAAAGTAACATTTCCATAACATTCTATGTTACTTCTAAAAATAATCTGTTTTTCTGCTCTTCATCATCCTTCAGGGCAAACGTTCGCAGCTGCTCCTCCAAATACCAGCAAGCGCAGAGATCTCCAGAGAGCGCAATCTGTAACTGACGCGGCTAGGAGACAGCATTAGACTCTTAAAGGGAAAGGCCACCAAAAATTGAGATTTTTTAGTTATAAGAGGAGTCTACAGTAGTGGGCAGAGTCGGCTCCTGGATCCTTTTGTGTCCTGCAGACTCCAACAGTGAGATCTCCGTGACATAATTCTCCACTATCCACCTTGGATGCTTCAGTGTCTCCACCAGTGGCGTCTCGGGGGGTGCGGTCCGCACCGGGTGACACCGACCGCACGAGGTGATTTAACCGGACCCGCTCCACAAAAAGGTTTTTTGTAAAGCAAGCCGACGATCCTGCAGGATGTAAACCAAAACAATGCTGCGCTACATTCAAAAAAATTTATGTGAATGTGGAATCCAACATCTCAAATCAAAATTGTGACAATAATAATGACAATATAAATCTATACGTGCTTACTGATAATCAAAAAATATCAATTAAATCACCCAAAAAGATGAAAAACACAAAACTTGTATCTATTTTTTTATGTGCATAAAAAGAATACACATACATATAATTAAATCACATTGCATATTGTGAAGTGAAAAAATAACCATAATAATTACACGCAAAACTCAAAGTCCAAAAAATAGAATGTTGAAGGTGAATAAAACGGTAAACGGTGTTTCCAAATAATACTGTAAGTGACCTTTATTTTGAAACAAATCTTGCAGGTATCTGGGTTTTTTTTTTATAGATCTTATGAATCCAACCACCTTCTGGATTAGCCTCTCACCTCATCCCTTCAGCCCTTGAGCGCCCTTGGATCAAAGAGCAGTAATGGATCCCTCTCACAGATCCTCCAGGCACCAAAGCACTCCAAAAACCGCTTTTCAAAGATTTAATATTCCCACTCAGGCTCTTCTGGAAAAGTTGAAATATCAATCTCTCAGAATGAGACAAAGGAATCCTCCCATTGTAGTATATTTATTATACCCTGATGAATTCACGTGACATGAATAACGCGTCGGCGTGTCAGCGGTGACGTATTTCCAGCGTGGCGGCCATCTTGGTACACCTGTTTATTGTGTACACCCAACAGATATATCCTCATCTGAAAGCATTGAGGTTCTAATGTGGATTGGCTTTTTACGTAAGTTTTTTTTTATAAGAGATTAGATGTTTTTATGGTATAATAAATATAAACACTATGGTGAGGATTCCTTTGTCTCATTCTGACAGATTGATATTTCAACTTTTCCTGGAGAAGAGCCTGAGTGGGAATATTAAATCTTGAAAAGCGGTTTTGGAGTGCTTTGGTGCCTGGAGGATCTGTGAGAGGCCGGGGAGGGATCCATTACTGCTCTTTGATCCGCAAGGGTCGAAGGGATGAGGTGAGAGGCTAATCCAGAAGTGGTTGGATTCATAAGATCTATATACACCCAGATATCTGCACGATTTGTTTCACCTGTGGTCACTTACAGTATTATTTGGAAACACCGTTTAGCCGTTTTGTTCACCTTCAACATTCTATTTTTGGACTTTGAGTTTAGGAGTGTATCATTATTAAAGGGTTATTTTTTTTCACTTCACAAATGCACCCAAAAATGAGATTTTTTAATTATATGATGTGTATTCTTTTATGCACATACGTATAGATACAGTTTTGTGTTTTTCATCTTTTTGGGTGTTTATTTGATATTTTTGATTATCAGTAAGCACGTATGAGATTTATATTTCATTATTATTGTCACAATTTTGACCTTGAGATGTTTCCACATTCACATAAATTAGTTTGAATGTGCAGCATTGTTTATGGTTTGCGGTTCACTTGATCACTGGTATATGATTTAATGCTAGCACCGCTTCTTTGGGGTTTATACATTTATTTTATTTATTTTTGGTTTAATTATTTTAAACACACATTTGGAGCGCAGGAGGGTCACACCACTATCGATCCTGCAGGATGGATCTGATCCATCCTGCAGGGATCGTCGGCTTTCTTTACAACTTACCTTTTCGTGGAGCGGGTCCGGTGTCACCCCGTATAGGTTGCATGCCGACGATCCTGCGGGGTGACACCGGTGTATCAGCAAGATGTGTCTTTCATGTAGATATGTCCCCCTGAAGCAACTGCACATGTCCCGGTTTCAGGCACGATCAATCGATGATAGAACTACTGCTATCATCGATTGATTGTGCCTGAAACCGGGACATCCGCAGTTGTCCAGGACCCGCTCCAAGAAAAGGTAAGTTGTAAACAAAGCCGACGATCCCCGCAGGATGGATCCGATCTGCTGCATAATGGATCAGACTTGGGAGCATTACTGGATTGGAAGTCTGAATCCACATTATGCTCCAGGGGCGGACTGACTATTTGGAACTTGGGCACTGCCCGAGGGCCCGGGGTCAGTAGGGGGCCCCATGAGATGCCCCTGGTACCTTTTTCATAGGCTTTTTTGAGTTTGGGCAAGGACACAGGGGCCCCATTATCCTCTATTGCCCGGGGGACCCCATGAGTTGTCAGTCCGCCCCTGATCCGGAGCCAATGAAACTCAGGTCTCCTGCCCTGCCAGACATAGCCGTGTAAAGCTCAGGACTGGATGGACAGAAATGCAAATCCTTTGGTTTTATATACGGAAACTAAACCGACTGGGTAGGTATAAGAGTGCAGGTAGATTGTATTCTGCAACATTACACATTTACTTCACCTAAAATAAAGAAAATAGTTTTTTAAATTTTATTTATTTGACCGTAAAAAAAGGAAATCTGTAGAAAACGTGTGTCCCTTCCCTGTGAGCCTCCAGTTGTCTCATCCTGGTGATCTGTGTGTGAATTCTGTGCCAACCTTCTTGTACAAAGCAGTGGATGAAGAATGATCTGAGATCGGCCCATTAGAGAGGAACTCCGGCCTTCACACACGCTTTGTTCTTTGTTTGTCAATCAGCCGCTGAATTATTTAGAGACTTAATGACCCAGTATTGTGCCTGCCAGGCTCGGGCCCCTCCCTGGGGACTCTGGGGCTTTGTGTGACTCCCAAATTCCTCCCACAGCCTCATCTGGGGAGGAGGAGGGGGGATGGAGACTGCACACTGCTCTGGCTGGGCCTTCCATAACGGATATTTCATTGTTTGGTGAATGCTAGGGAGTGAAACCACCTGACATCTCAGGACTGAATTCCTGGATCTCTACACCTGCTGTGCCCATTATGAGGGGTTCCCACCATCCCTGTGCTGAGTTCCCGGGTCTGTACACCTGCTGTGCCCATGAAGAGGGGTTCCCACCATCCCTGTGCTGAGTTTCCAGGTCTGTACACCCGCTGTGCCCATTATGAGGGGTTCCCACCATCCCTGTGCTGAGTTCCCAGGTCTGTACACCTTCTGTGCCCATTATGAGGGGTTCCCACCATCCCTGTGCTGAGTTCCTGGGTGTGCACTCCTGCTGTGCCCATTATGAGGGGTTCCCACCACCCCTGTGCTGAGTTCCCGAGTCTGTACACCCGCTGTGCCCATTATAAGGGGGTTCCCACCATTCCAGTGCTGAGTTCCCGAGTCTGTACACCCGCTGTGCCCATTATGAAGGGTTCCCACCATCCCTGTGCTGAGTTCCTGGGTCTGTACACCTCCTGTGCCCATTATGAGTGGTTCCCACCAAGGGCGGACTGACAACTCATGGGGCCCCCTGGGCAATAGGGGATCATGTGACCCCTGTGTCCTTGCCCACACTCAAAAAAGCCTATGAAAAAGGTACCAGGGGCATCTCATGGGGCCCCCTACTGACCCCAGGCCCTCGGACAGTGTCCGAGTTTCCAAATGGTCAGTCCGCCCCTGGTTCCCACCATCCCTGTGCTGAGTTTCTGTGTCTGTACACCCGCTGTGCCCATTATGAGGGGTTCCCACCATCTCTGTGCTGAGTTCCTGGATCTGTCCACCCACTGTGCCCATTATGAGGGGTTCCCACCATCCCTGTACTGAGATACTGAGAAGTTCACAGTGTGCAGTGAAATCTGAGTAGTACAACTGAGCAAGACTAAAGGGAAGGCTGGATTTGAAGCCCATCTTTAAGTAAACCTTGTCCTCTGTCAATCCCCCCCTATCAGGGGCGGACTGACCATTTGGAAACTCGGGCACTGCCTGAGGTCCCGGGGTCAGTAAGGGGCCCCATGAGATGCCCCTGGTACCTTTTCATAGGCTTTTTTGAGCTTGGGCAAGGACACAGGGGCCCCATGATCCCCTATTGCCCGGGGGCCCCATGAATTGTCAGTCCACCCCTGCCCCCTATCATTCAGAAAAGTTTTAAACGCCTCTAAGGCTTCCACCAGCATCATGAGAGGACCCCATGCTGGACAGCCATTTATGAAAAAAAGTGATGTCACACAGGCAGCAATGCAGACACCTGAAAATTCCTACCCCCCCCACCCCCGCTCTAAGGATGAGGGAAGACTCAGGAGCTGGTGCATCATGTGACCACAGATTTATGGGTATCCTTCATATGGGGGGGCGGGGCTTACACATGCAATGGCTCCAATGAGAACATGAAGCATGGACTTACCGCCAGCAAGATCTGGGTGGCGCTGTGTAAGACCTCAATATACTGGTACTCTATGGCACATCCCACCACCGATACGTAAGAGTGGCTCTCCAGGCCGGCCATGCCAGCTACAGGGGCCTCCTTCCTGACACAGCCGGGTCCATGTTCACTCCACCACGACTGGTGCTGAGACACGTGGAACGTCAGAAGATCGCTGTCCTGTGAGCGGGAAACACAACCACCGATTATCAACACAGACATCACATGACTACAACCATCCAATCTCATAGCTGAAGGCGGTGGGGGAGGAGCCACAGCTGGATGAAATCGCATTGTGAGCAATGGCTAATTAGTGTCTGGAAGCAGAAGAGATGAAGAAAACAGACGATTTCCTGTGACAGACCCAAAAATGAAAGTCGATGTAAACCCTGAATGCCGTCCAGTTTGTATTATAAACAACTGCCATTTTTCATGCTTTGTTACGTCATTGCGGCTGATCTCTTGCAGCCTCTTTGCAACCACTTCCTGATTTCAGTGACGGCAGCATTGCATTTCTCAGGGTGGGTTATCTAATGATGTCAACAGTGGACCGTGCCTCATAAATGTGTGTTGGCACGGCTCCTTTTAGCCAGCATTAAATCTGAATTCCCTTGCACTAGGGGCTCAATACTTTGGGGGCTGGAAAGAAAAATTCCCTTTCACTAGGGGCCCCATACTTTGGGGGCTTGAGAGAAAAATTCATTTGCACTAGGGCCCCATACTTTAGGGGCTGGAGAGAAAAATTCGTTTCCTTCCAATTTTGGGGGGAAAAAAAAATTCCCTTTCCATACTTGGGGCTGGAAAAAAAAAAATTCCCTTGCACTAGGGCCTCATATTTTGGGGGATGGAAAGAAAAATTCCCTTGCACTAGGGCCCCATACTTTGGGGGATGGAAAGAAAAATTCCCTTTCACTAGGGGCCCCATACTTTGGGGACTGGGAAAAAAATTCCTTTTCACTAGGGCCCCATATTTTGGGGACTGGAAAAAAAATTCCCTTTCACTAGGGGCCCCATACTTTGGGGGATGGAAAGAAAAATTCCCTTGCACTAGGGCCCCATACTTTGGGGGATGGAAAGAAAAATTCCCTTGCACTAGGGGCCCCATACTTTGGGGACTGGAAAAAAAAATTCCCTTGCACTAGGGCCCCCATACTTAGGGGCTGGGAGAAAAAAGTTTCCTTGCAATGGGGACTTCCATACTTTGGGGGCTGGAAAAAAAAAATCCCTTGCACTAGGGCCCCATACTTTGGGGCTGGAAAAAAAAATTCCCTTGCACTAGGGGCCCCATACTTTGGGGGATGGAAAGAAAAATTCCCTTGCACTAGGGGCCCCATACTTTGGGGTCTGGAAAAAAATTTCCCTTGCACTAGTAGGGCCCCATACTTTGGGGGCTGGAGAAAGAAAATTTCCCTTGCACTAGGGCCCCCATACTTTGGGGGCTGGAAAGAAAACGTTTCCCTTGCACTGGGGCCCCATACTTTGGGGGATGGAAAGAAAAATTCCCTTGCACTAGTGGCCCCATACTTTGGGGGATGGAAAGAAAAATTACCTTGCACTACGGGCCCCATACTTTGGGGGATGGAAAGAAAAATTACCTTGCACTACGGGCCCCATACTTTGGGGGATGGAAAGAAAAATTCCCTTGCACTAGGGGCTGCATACTTGGAGGCTGGAAAGAAAAGTTTCCTTGCAGTGGGGCCCCCAAACTATGGGGTTGAGGAATAAGATGTCACACTTACCGTATTCCTGGCCCCTATCCATGCAACTGGTCCAGTGCTGCTGCCTCTCTAAGGAGCTCTCAGCCGTGGTTGCATGCGCCCCTCCTCCGCTAACAGCCCTGCTTTATACTTTATGCAAAGGGACCACCCACAGCCTGGAGTACTAGGGAGAATAGGATAGCACTGAATCTGGCTGGAGTGGGGAATCGGGGTACGTAATACAGCCTTTCCATCTACCGCTAGAAATACCAAGCATTTAACACTTGCAGCACCAAGGGGACCCCACTGCAAGGGAATTTTTTTTTATTTACAGTCTCAGAGTTCAGCTTTAAGAGAGATTGTGACAGGGTGACAACACAGAAGACAGGTGGTAGACAGAGGCAGAGTGTTGTCACCCTATACCAGGAAGTGCCTGATCCAGGACCTTCATGGCAGGATCACCAGGGATTATTGTCATGAAAACTGCAGACTTAAAAAAACACAGAACATGACATCATCCTGTTAAAGCCTCTATAGCACTTGGATTGACAGCTATGTTATAGAATGTGGTTCCAAACGACAGAACAGATGGTGGTGGAGGGTGGAATGTTGGCAGATGGGGCCCTGGTGCTGGAGAAGGCAGGATACAGCTCGGTATGTGATTCATATGTACATAAAACAGGTGATGACATGTATGTGTTAGGTCTGATATGAACTCTGCAACAGGGATCAAAGAATCGGCTCGATGTAGGAAAGGCCATTCACCAGTACATTCAATCGAATTATCGTTCAGCACGGCCTGCTAATTATTCCTCCATTCATTCATAATTGACAGAGGAGAATCACGCAATCATGTCATACACTACAGAATGCCACTGGCGTGCTTAAAGTGGTAGTAAACGCTAAAGGTGGGAATACACGATTAGAAAATCGACCAATCGGTCATCCGACGTTCGTTCGTTGGTCAAAATCGTGGCCCACATTAACCAATCTAAAAAAATCGCTCGTCGGGCAATACGTATTGTTGACGTCTTCCGTACAAGTGGAAGTGATGCGGTGTGCATGTGACCTTGTAGCCACGCCCTTCCGGCCAGAACGAGCGATATACACAACAATTAACAGCAATGAGTATATTATTATTATACAGGATTTATATTTTATTATTATTATTATTATACAGGATTTATATTTTATTATTATTATTATTATACAGGATTTATATATTATATTATTATTATTATTATTATACAGGATTTATTATTTTATTATACAGGATTATTATTATTATACAGGATTTATATATTATTATTATTATACAGGATTTATAGTGCCAACAGTTTGCTCAGCGCTTGACAATATAACGGGAGACAATACAGTTCAAGACAAGAGGGATAGGAGGGCCCTGATCCTGGGAGCTTACAATCTAGAACATGCCCGAACACCGAAAAGGGGAGGAACCACGAAAAACGTCCGGTGCCATTGACCCACTAACAGAGCGAAAATCGACCGATTATTCTTAGGTCCGATTTTCGGACAAAAAATTGGTAACTTTCGACCCATGTATGGACGGCATTAGATTGTAAGCTCCCAAGATCAGGGCCCTCCTATCCCTCTTGTATTGAACTGTATGGTTGCTGTATTGTCTCCCGTTATATTGTAAAGTGCTGAGCAAACTGTTGGCGCCATAAATCCTGTATAATAATAATATATAAATCCTGTATAATAATAATAATAATATATAAATCCTGTATAATAATAATAATATTATATAAATCCTGTATAATAATAATAATATATAAATCCTGTATAATAATAATAATAATAATAATAATAATAATAATATATAAATCCTGTATAATAATAATAATATATAAATCCTGTATAATAATAATAATAATAATATATAAATCCTGTATAATAATAATAAGTAAGTAAAATGAATGAATATCTCTGAAGTGTGCATGTGACACCCTGCGCATGTGCTCACGGCATACCCGTGCTGTTCCTTCAGAGCACTGTGCCACGGCCCGGTACTCCCGCGCACATGCGGCCCGGCCTGTCAGACGGCCGGAGATCACGATCCCTAGTTTTTGGTAGATTCAAAGGTGTGCCTTGATTGGGGTTCTTGTACTGGATTCTTAGACATTGGAGTCACAGCTACAGAGGGCAGCAGAAAACAAGGCCCATGTCATGCGCTCCTTGTATCTGAGCACAGCAGATTTTCAGGGTAATGAAAGCTCCTGCAGTATATGGTATTAGACTAATCTTCACTGCAATGTTTAGTACTTGAAGTCCCTGGGGTCTTACCTTGGACAGATCGCCAACTTCCAGGTAGAAGCAGATAAGGAATACATTCCAGGTCACCCACACAGAAGCCCAGATGGCATACTAGAAGGAACAGGGAGGAGAGATGACATTAACCAGCATCAGTTAGTAACTGACACCCTACTTAATGTTTTTTTACAAAGCGACCCTGTCATCAGCTTAACAAATTATGGGTAGAAGCAAATAAATAGAAAATTATTATAAATGCTTGCTTGCAGCATTTTCCCTTTCCACAAATTATTTTTATTCAACTTGCAATGTTCCCCTTAACTAGCTAGAAAATTTGACTATTCCAGGAAGAGTCAATTCCCTAGCACAGCCCCCTCCCTCCATGCACATCATAGCCCTCTTCTCTTCTCTTCTCGGAACTGCCCTAGCTCCTCTGCTCCTCCTACTCCAGGAAGATTTAATTCACTAGCACAGTCCCCCCCCTCCTTGCAGGTCAGAGCCCTCTTCTCTTCTATAGGCTGCCCTAGCTCCTCTGCTCCTCCTACTCCAGGAAGTCAATTCCCATGCACAGCCCCCTCCCTCCGTGCACATCATAGCCCTCTTCTCTTCTATAAGCTGCCCTAGCTCCTCTGCTCCTTCTACTCCAGGAAGAGTCAATTCCCTAGCACAGCCCCCTCCCTCCTTGCACATCATAGCCCTCTTCACTTCTTGGAGCTGCCCTCGCTCCTCTGCTTCTCCTACTCCGAGAAGAGTCAATTCCCAAGCACAGCCCCCTCCCTCCTTGCACATCATAGCCCTCTTCACTTCTTGGAGCTGGCCTAGCTCCTCTGCTCCTCCTACTCCAGGAAGAGTCAATTCACTAGCTCAGTCCCCTCCCTCCTTGCATGTCAGAGCCCTCTTCTCTTTTATGAGCTGCCCTAGCTCCTCTGCTCCTCCTACTCCAGGAAGATTCAATTCACTAGCACAGTCCCCTCCCTCCTTGCATGTCAGAGCCCTCTTCTCTTTGCTCCTCTGCTCCTTCTACTCCAGGAAGATTTAATTCACTAGCACAGTCCCCTCCCTCCTTGTATGTCAGAGCCCTCTTCTCTTTTAGGTGCTGCCCTAGCTCCTCTGCTCCTCCTACTCCAGGAAGATTCAATTCACTAGCACAGTCCCCTCCCTCCTTGCATGTCAGAGCCCTCTTCTCTTTTAGGAGCTGCCCTAGCTCCTCTGCTCCTCCTATTTCAGGAAGATTCAATTCACTAGCACAGTCCCCTCCCTCCTTGCATGTCAGAGTCGTTTTCTCTTCTAGATGCTGCCGTAGCTCTTCTGCCTCTCCTACTCCAGGAAAAGTCAATTCACTAGCACACTCCCCTCCTTGCATGTCAGAGCCCTCTTCTCTTCTGAGAATGTCTAATTACTGTCTGCGCTGGCCCAACTCCTCCCCTCACATCCCCAACATAACCTTTTCTATAGCTCCTCGGGGGAGGAGCGAAGGGGAATACTATGGAGTGACATCTCTGCTGGGGCTGACATCACATCCAAGGTGGCGGCACCCAGCAGAAGTCTGAGGGCTTTTGGATAACTACACAAGAGAGGGTTTACTGCATCCCAAAACTGAACTGCAGCAGTCATCTCTGCAGTTTCATTGGCCAGCAGTCAGAGAGGCGGGTTATCTGCAGGAAATAAAAAGCCGGACCGCCCTCCCCTCCCGCCCCCGAGGTACCCACCGCTTCATTACAAAGCATTAGGTAACCGCAGAGGAGCCAAGCCACTCTTCCCTGATCTGTATTCTAAAAATAAAACAAAAGCGTGAGGCTGATTCATTTTAATCCTCTTTTATTAGCGGCAGCGTGGAAAAACACATAATTGTTCTGTTCTCCTGAGAAAAGCGGCTTTAGCAGCTCTGAGGAATACTTAACTGAATAAAATGAACAGATTTGACTAGATCTCAGTGTCGGCCCCCCCCACTATCGTGCCGAAATTTGCAAATAAACAATGTTTTATGTATTAGAGGACTTGTTTTTCTTGGAATGGTGATTGCATTAGGAGGTGACTCATACATAATTCAATTTATTCACTGCATTGAAGGCCAGCGCCACCCAAAAAGATGGGTTTCTTATAACTCCTGAGTAGAGACCAGAGGGATATTGTCCCTGATTGAAGAGGATTTCTGCTTTAAATCCTCCCTCCGGCCTTCTCTCCAATCTCCAGTTGTACAGGTTGCTCTTCTGGACTGAAATGGCTTACTCTGATTTCACTGCACACTGTGAGCTTCTCGTAATGTGCATTAGAAGCTGCAGCAAGTCAGATAAAGCCTGTTTCATTTTCTAGTTGAAGGATGCCCAGCATCATCCAGCCCTTTCTTCCCCAGCATGACTGTCCTTGGCCCAACTCTTTCATTCATTGCATTTAAATCATGGAGGCTCAGTATCACACGTGGGTATAACACCAGCTTCTTGTTTTCAGGAAGCCATGTACAGCAACCTAACACCAGCCATGATCTGTCTGCATTGCATGGAGAAGCACGGGGATTGAGTGATGTCGTAACGGGATCTCTATGCTTCTCTATTCAGAGCAGTCAGATCATGGCTGGTGGGAGGGACCGGTAGGGTGCTGTACATAGCTTCCTGAAAAACAGGTTTGTAATGAAAAATGGAAAGTTTTTATGTAAAAATGGAACCAGGAAAGGCAAAATAAAAGCAGATTAAACTTCATCTCACTTAACTGAAAAGAGCTGTAGATGTAGGCTGGCATTTTGAATCACTGCAAGATTTAATGTGAATCTTAATTGGAAAAATAAAATATGATTTTTAAAATTCAAAACATAGGTATATATTTATACATAGGTGCACAAAATGAACAAAACCGTTAAGAACAAAGAACAAAACCATTAAAAACATGATTTTCACACAAAAACATAATAATGAATATTTACTGCACGAATCATATGAGTCGGGTGTGGGTCTTCACCTCTGCCGAACCCGCGAGACTGACTCACTGAACCCCTGGGGTTCGATCGAACCCAGGTTAAGAACCACTGTTTTATAGTAATTCATCCCCCATATAGTAATTCATCCCCCATATAGTAATTCATCCCCCTATAGTAATTCATCCCCCCTATAGTAATTCATCCCCCATATAGTAATTCATCCCCCATAGTAATTCATCCCCCATATAGTAATTCATCCCCCATAGTAATTCATCCCCCATATAGTAATTCATCCCCCATATAGTAATTCATCCCCCATAGTAATTCATCCCTCATAGTAATTCATCCCCATATAGTAATTCATCCCCCATATAGTAATTCATCCCCCATAGTAATTCATCCCCCTATAGTAATTCATCCCCCCTATAGTAATTCATCCCCCATATAGTAATTCATCCCCCATATAGTAATTCATCCCCCATATAGTAATTCATCCCCCATAGTAATTCATCCCCCATATAGTAATTCATCCCCCATATAGTAATTCATCCCCCATAGTAATTCATCCCCCCTATAGTAATTCATCCCCCATATAGTAATTCATCCCCCATATAGTAATTCATCCCCCATATAGTAATTCATCCCCCATAGTAATTCATCCCCCATATAGTAATTCATCCCCCATATAGTAATTCATCCCCCATTATAGTAATTCATCCCCCCTATAGTAATTCATCCCCCATATAGTAATTCATCCCCCATATAGTAATTCATCCCCCATATAGTAATTCATCCCCCATAGTAATTCATCCCCCATAGTAATTCATACCCCCCATATAGTAATTCATCCCCCATAGTAATTCATCCCCCATATAGTAATTCATCCCCCATATAGTAATTCATCCCCCATATAGTAATTCATCCCCCTATAGTAATTCATCCCCCATATAGTAATTCATCCCCCATAGTAATTCATCCCCCATATAGTAATTCATCCCCCATAGTAATTCATCCCCCATAGTAATTCATCCCCCATATAGTAATTCATCCCCCATAGTAATTCATCCCCCCATAGTAATTCATCCCCCCATAGTAATTCATCCCCCATAGTAATAATCATTCCCCATAGTAGTAATTCATCCCCCATATAGTAATTCAGTAATTCATCCCCCCTATAGTAATTCACCCCCATATAGTAAATTCATCCCCTCCATAGTAATTCATCCCCCATATAGTAATTCATCCCCCCTATAGTAATTCATCCCCCTATAGTAATTCATCCCCCATATTAATTCATCTCTCATATAGTAGTAGTAAGTAAGTAGCAAGTAGTAAGCCAAGTCCCCCCTGTGTCAATTCACTTACCTTTGCTCCGCGCGTTCCTCTCGCCGTATTCCCCGCCGTTCCGGTCTTCAGGGCGGACTGTGAGAGGAGCCTAGGTCCTCTCACGTTCGTCACGCTGCCCCCCTACACACATCCTGACAGCCAATCACTGGCTATCAGGATATGAGTGGCAGCGAGACTGGCCAATCATTGCATTTGAGCACGCTGCCCTGGCTGTTTTTTTTTTTGGATCACGCTGCAGAGTCCCTGCCGCCCGAGAGGAGGAGGGGAGCGGGCGCCCGGCACACAAGAGCCGCATTAAAGCGTGTAAAGAGCCGCATGTGGCTCGCGAGCCACGGCTTGCCGACCACTGGGCTAAGCGATGTTGCGTGACCACCTGCAGCCAATGATGGACAAGCGGGGCATGTCATCACGAATCATATGAGTCAGGTGTGGGTCTTCAACTCCGCCGAACCCGCGAGACTGACTCACCGAACCCCTGGGGTTCGATCGAACCCAGGTTAAGAACCACTGATCTAGAATGAGATGCTCTCAATTATCTTAATCAGTCAGAAGATTCTTTGAGAGAGTGCACTTCTCTGATTCAGTTTCACTTTATTACAGGAGCTGGACTTAAAGAGGAGTTCCACCCAAAAGGGGAAGTTCTGCTTTAAAGATTGGTCCCCCGCTCCTCATTAAGGATTGGCACCTTTGGGGAACAGGGGGAATGGGTACCCGAATTTGACAGGTACCCGTTCCCACTTCCGCTGCGATTGCCTAGGCGATTGGAAATGGAAGTTGTCCTCCTACCCTTCCTCCCCGAAGTCTTGTGGGACACGTGACAGGTCCCTGAAGACAACAGGGCCATTCAGGGAAGCGCAGCACTGATCGCGCGTGCGCAGTGGGCACCTGGCTATGAAACTGGGTGCCCACATTGAAGATGCCGGCCTCCTGGAATACAGGACAGCCGGTGAAACGGGCTGTGGCGGGGGGGTAACGCGGGATCGTGGGATGGGTAAGTGGCTGTTTTTTAAAGGTCAGCAGCTACAGTTTTTGTAGCTACTGACTTATTTTTTTTACAGAGTGAGTGTAACTCCGCTTTAAAGTAGAAGTCCAGTCAAAACCTAACTAAACTTAAACCTGCTCCCACCCCCAGTCTAAGCCCTCCACGAAACTTCCCTGCAAAGGAGAGATATGTACCTAACCTAAGGGCACTCTGGTCTGGTCACATGATCTTCTCCTTGCGGCGGCTTCAGTGTAGAGGAGGGAAAGCCCAGAGTAAGCCTATGGGTGACATCACCAGCCAGGTTTTGCAGCAGTTGTCAGCCATCTCTCCTCTACATTGAGTCTGGCCCCTGGGGAGGTCACATGAATAGAATGGATTACCCTTAGATTAGGTAAGTATAAGCATCTTCCTTTACAGGGTAGTTAGCACAGCACAGGGGTCACCAAACTTTTGCAACAAAGGGCCATTTTACTGACCTTCAAACTTTAGGGGGGCCGGACTGGGGCCAGTGGGAGTAGAAAATGCCTTGGCAATGGTGAGAGTAAACAATGCTATAGGCTTGGTGGTCAGTGTGAGTAAACCCATTATATGATTGGTGTTAGCGGGAAGAATAGTGCCCCATCATTGGTGTCAGTGGGAGGAATAGTGCCCCATCATTGGTGTCAGTGGGAGGAATAGTGCCCCATTATTGGTATCAGTTGGAGGAATAGTGCCCCATTATTGGTATCAGTGGGAGGAATAGTGCCCCATCATTGGTATCAGTGGGAGGAATAGTGCCCCATCATTGGTATCAGCGGGGGAGGAATAGTGCCCCATCATTGGTATCAGTGGAGGAATAGTGCCCCATCATTGGTATCAGTGGGAGGAATAGTGCCCCATCATTGGTATCAGTGGGAGGAATAGTGTGCCCCATCATTGGTGTCAGTGGGAGGAATAGTGCCCCATCATTGGTATCAGTGGTCCATCAAGGAGTAGTAGTGCCCCATCATTGGTATCAGTGGGAGGAATAATGCCCCATCATTGGTATCAGTGGGAGGAATAGTGCTCCATCATTGGTGTCAGTGGGATGAATAGTGCCCCATCATTGGTGTCAGTGGGAGGTATAGTGACCCATCATTGGTGTTAGTGGGAAGAATAGTGCCCCATTATTGGTATTAGTGGGAGGAATAGTGCCCCATCATTGGTGTCAGTGGGAGGTAAAGTGACCCATCATTGGTGTTAGTGGGAAGAATAGTGCCCCATCATTGGTGTCAGTGGGAGGTAAAGTGACCCATCATTGGTGTTAGTGGGAGGAATAGTGCCCCATCATTGGTGTCAGTGGGAAGAATAGTGCCCCATCACTGATATCAGTAGGAGGAATAGTGCTACATTATTGGTGTCAGTGGGAGGAATAGTGCCTCAATATTGGTGTCAACGGGAAAATTAATTCCCTGTCTTTGGTGTCAGTGGGAGGAATAGTACCCGATTGTTGGTATCAGCAGGAGGAATAGTGTCCCAAGGGCCAGATAAAGGTAAGCAAAGGGCCATATCCGGCCCTCTGGATGCAGTTTGTAAACCCCTGGCATAGGGCTTAGAATGGGGGTGGGAGCAGGTTTAGGCTTAGTTAGGTTTTGACTGGACTTCCACTGTAATTCCATCAACTGCCATCCCTATGTCCAATGAGAGTTACTGACCACTGAGAAGGCAGTTAATAGAGCTTCGCTAAGTCCCAGTAACAAAGTGGAACTGAATCAGAGAGCGGCACAGAGGAAGCTGCTCTGGCAACAGCAGGCATCTTGTGGTGTCTGCTCTATGGAAGCAGTTTTACTTTAAAATCGAGCAAAAACTACCATTTTTCCTAAAGGGAACACAACTCTGTCTATCTTACAGCAGGAAAAAGCTGCTGAACCAATGATGGTGGCTTCATTTCCCAGAATCCTTTGTTACATGGAGCTGGTGATGCTCGCCCTGTAACTCTCTCTTGCAATACCCGAAGCTCTCCACCAATGACATGAACTCTTACCGCAATGACATAGCGCGGCCTGTACTGTAAAGTGCCGAACAGGCCTAGTATGATAGCGATGATGTGTAGAAAATTAGCCAAAATTGGAGCCCATTGGTAGCCCAAGAAGTCAAAGACTTGACGCTCTAGTGCTGCGATCTGTAAAAGAGAGAAAAATAGAAAAAGGAGAGGTTTAGGAAGCAGAGCAATAAATAAATGAACATTTTTCATGCATACTGTATTTTGCTGGTTTTAGGCAGCACTAGGCCACAGGGTATGAAGCTTTGATCACCGTGCTGTCAAAACAAAGAGAATCTGTCACTATGGAGTGACAAAAAGTCTGAAAAAAGAAAACTAAGGCAGTCACCACATCTAAGAACTGGTAACTTGCATAACAATTTTATTGGTATATTCAATATAAATTCATTGTTCGAGTTTACATGCCCTTTAAGACCTTCCTTGCTGCCTCCAAAAGCCAGATATTCATATCAACAGCTGACGCTACCTGCTATCACAGTGTGACATTTTTACAAATCCTATCCTATTGACAGGTTTGCTTTAAAGTGTTCATCTTTTCAGAAAAAAATTAAAAGGGGGACTAACACCGTACACCCTCCCTACCCCCAGGTTCCCACTATATTGACCTCCATAGGTGATGTGTTGTCTGTGCCCACGGAGTCTGTGCAGCGTTCCGGGGATTTGAAATCTCTGCTCTTCTATCTGTAGTGAACTTCACTCCCGCCCATTTTATTTCTCCTCCCCACTTTTTTTTTGTTGGGTTATGCACAAAAAACATCCATATCCAGTTATTCTATGGTGTTTTTTTGTGATCAGCTGTCCCACACCTGAACCATCTACACACCCAGTCCTGTGCCGCCATCTTTTTCTTATGTAGCCAGCCCTCTGATGACAAGTGTGCCCTCTGATGACATGTGTGCACCACCACACATCATCAAGGGGCCAGCCCAGTCCTGTGCCACCATCTTTTTCTTATGTAGCTAGCCCTCTGATGACAAGTGTGCCCTTTGATGACATGTGTACACCATACACACATCATCAAGGAGCCAGCTGTGTCTTCCTGGTTCTTGCAGCCACCCCTGATGACAGGTATGTGCTATAGTGCATCATCAGGAGGCTGGCTTTCTCTTCTGCGTTCTTGCAGCGGCTCCATGACGACATACATGCACCACCACGCATCATCAGGAGGACAGCTATGTCTTCCAGGTTCTTGCAGCCACTTCCCCAGATGATAGGTATGTGCCATGGTGCATCATCAGGAGGCCGGCTGTCTCTTCCAGGTTCTTGCCGTGGCTCCGTGATGACATGCAGTGCAACAGCAGGCGGTCTGCTGTCTTTCAAGTTCTTGCAGCGGCTCCCTGATGACATGCATGCACCAGAGCACATCATCAGGAGGCTGGCTGTCTTCCAAGTTCTTGCAGTGGCGCTCTGATGGCATGTGTGCCCTCTGATGACATGTGTGCACCACCACACATCATCAAGGGGTCAGCTGTTTCTTCCTGGTTTTTGCAGCAGCCCCTGATGACAAGTATGTGTCATGGTGCATGCCAGCTGTCTCTTTCCAGTTCTTGCAGTGGTTCCTTGATGACATGCATGCAGCACCATACATCATCAGGAGGCCAGCTGTGTCTTCCAGGTTCTTGCATCCCACCCCTTTCCACAGATGACAGGTATGTGCCATGGTACATCAACAGGAGGCTGGCTATCTCTTTCAAGTTCCTGCACTGGCTCCCTGATGACATGCATGCACCATCGCACGTCATTAGGAGACCGGCTGTCTTTTCCGAGTTCTTGCAATGCCTCCCTGGTGACATCCATGCCCCAATGCCCATTGTCTGGGGGTGACTGTGTCTTTCAGGCTCCTGCAACCGCTCCCCTGAAGACAGGTATGTGCCATGGTGCATCATCAGGAGGCCGGCTGTCTCTTCCAGGTTATTGTAGCAGCTCCTTGCTGACATGCATGCACCATTGCACATCAGGAGGCCAGCTGTCTCTTCTGAGATCTTGCAGTTGCTCCCTGATGACACGCATGCACCAATGCCCATTGTCTGGGGATGACTGTGTCTTCCAGGTTCCTGCAACTGCTCCCCTGATGACAGATATGTGCCATGATACATCATCAGGAGGCCGGCTGTCTCTTCCAGGTTCTTGCAGCAGTTCCTTGATGCCATGCATGATCCACAGTTTATCATCAGGGGGCCAAGTGTCTGTTCCAGGTTCTTGTGACCACCCACAATGACATGCATGCACTGAGACTCGTCATCACTGGCTGGATGTCTTCTCTGGGTTCTTGCACCTGCCCCCATAATGACAGGTATGAGCCACAGTGGTGTATCAGTAGGATTCTGGCTGTCTCTCCCAGGTTTTTGCAGCCATCTTCTTAAGGACATGCCTGAGCCACAGTGTACCATCCGGGGACTGACTGTCTCTTCCAAGTTCGTGTAGTCACCCCCTGAAGATGTGTATGTGCCATAGCTCGTCATTAGGGGCTGGATGTCTTCTCTGGGTTCTTGCAGCCACCTCTCTTATGATGTGCATGCACCACGGCACATCATCAGGGGGCCATATGCAACAGCCAGGAAGAGTCAGCCTGCTTCCTGATGATGTCCCAGTGGTGCATGCACCCTACGGTACTTCAAACCCTCCTGGGATGTGTGACATAGGCTTCCCAAGAGGGTAAAAAAAAAAGTCACTCACCCAGGTCAGAATTCAGGAAGTGCAGGCAGCATTCCCAGAAACAGCGTATTTAACAGATAAGAATAATAAATATCCAAATGTTGGAGAGGAGGGGGAGTGGAAAGGCTGAGGGTGAAGGTTAGCCAATAATGAGTATTATTTGATCACCAAACTTTCTGCAATATTCAGTCTAATTATTATTATTATTGTGTAGGCTTACAGCTCTTCACAATCTTTTCAACCACTAAACACTATAATTTATCCTCTTAGTCACATTTAGTAGTGGGGAGATGTTATTAGCAGGAGTTTCGGAAAACGTCAAGTTAATCAACTGCTGCCTCTACAGTTATATTAATAATTAGGCCAAGTTCAAGTGCATATTAGTTGGCTTTATGAACATGTTTGGTGGACAATGTGTTCTTTTACAGAACTATTCTTTAGAGCTGTCAGAGGAACAAGTGCAGAAGGAAAAAGGGACAGAAGGGGTTGGGTGGTAGAAGGGAAAATTGGGAGCCATGTTGAAATGTTATTGGTTCCTGCGGGTTAATGTACTGTCGCACTTTGTGCTGTCTGCCTGAACAGGCCCATATAGGTGTGAAATTGTTTGTGTGCCAGAGGTGCCTAGGGACACATCGGCTGTCCTCATTATCGAGTTTACCCTTGCTCAGCACCAAGGGGCCTTTGGCCACTGTACAGCAATTACGGTCAGCGCAGCAATGCTCCTGGGAGCTGGCTTGCTATCCAGGCCTCTCCTCCAGCATGATGGATATCCCTGTCCACTTTCTTTGTGAGGAATCCATCATCCTGTCTCCGTGGCCACTGCTCCTGATACCAAGCGGATTCATCACGCCGCCCTTTCTAACATGCGTTCTCTGTGACAACCCTCCAGGGTCACCCCGGCGAAGATGAGACAGGCTTGGCACTGCCAACGACGCTCACTCCAGATCTGATTTGCATGCAAATGATCCTGGAAGGGGAGTGTGAGAGAGGCAAGAGGCTCCTACCTGTGCGATTTTCTGCGCACACCGCAGCCTACCTGCCACCTCAACATGTTTGTTTTAATTGGTTTACCCCCCGCCGGGGTTGCTATGGTGACCTTCCTTGGGGTCCTGCAATTTGTGATTCATTTCCCAGCATCCCTTGCATGCAAGCAAAGGTCACCCGTGAAGGATGCCTAAAGTCAATTTTGCATTTAACCCCTTGCCGAGCAACAGTACGGCTGCAGCTTTGCAAGAATTCCAAGTAGGGGGTACCTGTTTCAGCAGGCTCCAGCGAGGCAATTAAGTTGCTCTGTAACACATTTATCTTCTAAACAAGGCAACAATGCAATTACTGGACCTCCACTTGGGGTATGTCTCATTTATTCTTTGTTAGCATGGCTCATAGGAATTGGCCAGTACCATCTGCCACTGCTTATAGAAATCTGGCAATGCCCATGTGTCTTCGAATGACTGGAAACCTTTGGGCTGGGGGCCAGATGTAACCAACTGGTCCTTTCATGGCAGGAACAGCTTTCGGTGCAGTAAAGAAAGAATACCACCCAAAGTGTGATATGGTGCCACAGTGATTGGGGGGCATGGGAAAAGCTTGGTGCTCCTAAAGGACACAGTTTACTGTAACACACCTTTTCACATCTTCCATGATAAGCCGAGAATGGCTCTTGGCATTCAGTCACATGACATCTTAGAGCCGCAAAGAATTGGGTGCTGGAAGACTTTCCCTTGCCAGATGCTATGGTCACAGGGCTGAATAGGGAGCAGATAGATATAAAATATCCATCACAAGACACTAGAGCAGGCCTCGTCCAAATTGTGAAGTATTTCCACTCCACCAGCCCAAGATATCTTCTTAGTACTGGCCCAGGGGCAGTTGCCCCCTTCCCAGTTCTCTCCTGGGAGCAGTCCACCTAAACGGGATGTTCTAGTAATTGGGGAAGTTTGGTGTGCAAAACCACTTCTGGTCTTCCTATGTGTGTGGGGGACTCCGGTAGGGAAATCTTTTGGGTCTGTATAGCTCCTGGTCAGGGGTGGACTGACTATTTGGAAACTCGGGCACTGCCCGAGGGCCCGGGGTCAGTAGGGGGCCCCATGAGATGCCCCTGGTACCTTTTTCATAAGCTTTTTTGAGTTTGGGCAAGGACACAGGGGCCCCATGATCCCCTATTGCCCGGGGGCCCCATGAGTTGTCAGTCCGCCACTGCTCCTGGTTATTTTGGGTTTTCCCCACTCATCCTGTCGCATTTTTTATCCTTTATTTATTACAGGGACTTTTATAGCACCGTCATTCACATCAGTCCCTAACTCTCAATGGACGTACAATCTAAGGTTTCTAACTCACATTCATACATACACATACTAGGGCCAATTTTATACAGGATTCAATTAGACTACCAGCATGTCTTTGGAGTGTGGGAGGAACCCAGAGTACCTAGAGGAAACCCATGCAGGCACAGGGAGAACATTCAAACTCCAGGCAGGTGGTGGCGTGTTTGGGATTCGAACCAACGACCCTAGTACTGCCAGGCGGAAGTGCTAACC